TCCCCTTTCCCAATTTACAGCCTTTAGGTAGTAATCTGCCTTCTTGTATTTGCTTCCAAAGTGAATAACTTCACATTTATACAAACTATACTGCATCTGCCATTGATTTACCCACTCACCCAACCTGTCCAGATCATGCTGAAGGATCTCTGCATCCTCGTCACAGTTCACCCTCCCACCCAACTTGGTACCATCTGCAAACTTTGAGATGTTACATTCTGTTCCCTCATCCAAATCATTAATATATATTGTAAATAGCTGGGTCCCCAGCACCAATCCCTGTGGTACCCACTAGTTACTCCCTGCCAATTTGAAAAGGACCCAATAATTCCTATTCTTTGTTTTCCCTCTGCCAACCAGTTTTCTATCCATCTCAAAACACTTCCCCCAATCCCATGCACTTGAATCTTGCTCAATAATCTCTTCTGCTGGACTTTGTCAAACACTTTCTGAAAGTACAAATATACCACATTGACTGGCTCCCCCTTGTCAACTCTACTCGTTATATCTTCATAGAATTCCAACAGATTTGTCAAGCATGATTTCCCCTTCATAAATCCATACTGACTCTGTGTAATCGTGCCACTGCTTTCTAAATGCTCCGCTATAAAGTCCCTGATAATAGATTCAAGAATTTTCCCCACTACCGATGTTTAGGCTAACCAGTCTATAATTCCCTATTTTCTCTCTACCTCCCTATTTGAATATTGGAGTGACATTAGCCACCCTCCAATCTGCAGAGACTGTACCAGAGTCTACAGAATCCTGGAAGATGACCACCAATGCATCCACCATTTCTAGAGCTACTTCCTTAAGTACTCTGGGATGGAGATTACCAGGCCCTGGGGATTTATCTGCCTTCAATCCCATCAAGTTTCCCAGCACCATTTCTTACTAATATTGATCTCCCTCAATTCATCCCTCCCACTAAATCTTGCATTCTCCAACAATTCTGGTATCTGATTTGTGTCCTCTTTTGTGAAGACAGAACCAAAGTATGTACTCAGTTGCTCAGCCATTTCTTTGTCCCCTATTATACATTCCCCCATTTCTGACTGTAGGGGACCTACATTTGTCTTCGCCAATCTCTTTCTCAGGATAAGAATGAGAGCAGTCCTTGGGTGAGAGTACTACATTGGAGGGGAGACTAACTCTGACAATATTAGACAGGAGCTGGGGAATGTAGGTTGGGGGTGGCTGTTAGAGGGTAAACCCACATCTGGCACGAGGGAATCTTTTAAAGGCCAGTTGATCTTGGGACCAGCATGTTCCTGTGAAAATTAAGAATATGGATGGGAAGATTCAGGAACCTTGGATTAACAAAGAAATTGAGAGCTTAGTCAAAAAGGAAAAGAAGGCATACCAATGTAAAGAAAAAAGGAAAGAACCTGAACAAACAGTTAGAAGGGCTAAAAGGGGCCATGAAATGTCTTTGGCAAACAGGATTACGGAAATCCCAACAAGTTTTATATGTATAAAAGGAGCAAGAGGGTGGCTTGGAAAAGGGTAGATCCACTCAAAGGAGGGAGTTTATGCGTGGAGCCGGAGAAAGTGTGTGAGGTCCTTAACGAAGATTTTGCGTTGGTATTCACAAAGGAGAAGGACATGGTGGATGGTGAGTCTAGAGAGGGATATGTTGATATTCTAGGGCAGGTTGATATAAAAAAGGTTGTGGGTGTTTTGAAAAGCATTAATGTAGACAAGTGCCCATGACCTGATTGGATCTATCCGAAAATGCTGAGGGAGGAAATTGTTGGGGACTTGTATGAAATTTTTGTATCCTCTATCACAGGAGATAATAGCCAACATCATTCCTTTGTTTAAGATGGGCAATAGGGATAATCTGGGAAATGACAGAGCCCAATGGAGGGAGCACAGTGCAGAGCAGCAGTGACACACTGCAGTGCACTGTGCTAAAAAACCTCTGCTCCCTTCCCATTGCACAGCCACAACCCCAGCACCGCTCCCCAACGCCCCAACGCCATGCTCTCGAGTCATCTGTGCCACATTCATAGATTACCTACAGCGCAGAAAGAAGCCATTTGGCCCATTGAGACTGCATTGACCCTCTGAACAGTATCCCACCCAAACCCACCCTACCCCCTCACTCCATCCCTTAACCCCATGTGGAGTTTTCCCATGATTAACCCACCTAATCTACACATCCCTGAACACTACGGGGCAATTTAGCATGGCCAAACCCCCCCCAACCCTGCACATCTTTGGACTGTGGGAGGAAACCAGAGCACCCGGAGGAAACCCACGCAGACACGGGGAGAATGTGCAAACTCCACACAGACTGTGGTGAGGAGGGGAGAGGTGTAGGGAGAAGGGGAGAGGTGTAGGGAGGAGGGGAGGGGTATAGGGAGTGGTGGGAGAGGTGTAGGAAAGGTATTCCAGAAGTGGTTATCCAGGTGTCTAAAGGGTTAGTGTTAGTGGAATGGATGAAATTGGGATATGCTCAGTGGAGGTGCACAGTGGGAGCTTTTTAAAACAATTGTTGATGAGATGTGGGCATCACTGGTCAGGGCAGTGTTTATTGCCCATCCCTAATTGCCCAGGGGGCAGTTCAGATCAACCACATTGCTGTGGGTCTGGAGTCACAAGTAGGCCAGACAGGGTAAGGATGGCAATTTCCTTCCCTAAAGGGCATTAGTGAACCAGATGGGGTTTTTTTTCCTAAAGTTGGCAGGGGTACCACTTGGCCTGCTTTCTATTGGAATCTCACTCTATACCCTGGTTGGATTTGGACTCGCGACCCTGTGACCTTCAGCTGGACGCTCTGGTTTACTGGTGCAGCAACGTTACCACTACACCAAGCCTGGGCCAGCTCTCCGGGAGGAGATTACAGAGACAGGGAGGGCTGAGCTTACACAGGGAATATGAAACTGAGAAAAGATTCTTCACGATAAACAGGGATGACCCTGGAGTCTCCTTACTCTCTGAACAGATCACTCCAGCAGCAAAGCGAGTGCCACTCTTCTTGCACTTCACGTTGACTCCGTGGCTCTGACACTGGCTCAAAGTCATTTCATCTCCCGTGCATTTCACACCACTCAGCACCATCTCCTGGGCACCAGTGTCAGCATCCCAGTACCAGGTTTCCTTGGGAAAGAACAGCAAGACAAATGGTTAAGGGTGACAGCGTTTCGCCAGCTCTCATTATCTGCGTGGGAACTGAGATGGAAAGCCAGATATTGCTGAGCTCACTCAGTATCCTGGGCGCAGTGCAGTGAATGGCCTCCTCCCCCAGCACCGTCTGTGACCTGTTACTCTCAAACTGGGCTGCACTTCCTCAGTCCTAAGGCAAGGCCACTCTGGGCTGTTGAGGCAGAACTCTCTCACTCGGCGGAGGAGAATCCCTGGAATTCTCACCCTCTCGAGGCTCCCTCACTGAGTACATTTGACTGTGAGGGGAGGCAGTAAGGCAGGCAAAGGAGTGGAAGTGAGATATCAGCCATCGTCATACTGAAGGAAGCAGCAGGACTGAGGGGCTGAATGGCCTTTTTTTTCAATTCATTCGTGGGATGAGGGCATCACTAGCTAGGCAGCATTTATTGCCCATCCCTAAATGCCCAGGGGGCAGTTCAGAGCCAACCACATTGCTGTGGGTCTGGAGTCACATGTAGGCCAGACCAGGTGAGGATGGCAGTTTCCTTCCCTAAAGGGCATTAGTGAACCAGGTGGGTTTTTCATGACAATTGGCAATGGATTCATGACCATAATAGACACTTAGCTCCAGATTCTTTGTAGAATTCAAATTGCACTATATACCCCAGAACATTAGTTGAGTCTCTGGATTAACAGTCCAATGATAACACCACTAGGCCATTACATCCTCCTGCTCCCATAACTTACATTCTTGCACTTCCCAGCTCGTGGATGTCGATGTGAAGCAGCTCACACACACTGTGATATGCTGCAGAAATGGGTCAGATCACCCACTGACAGACCCTGAGGCATGGACCTCTCAGTCAATTACTCTCACCTCACACTGATTGCACTGGTGTGATCCAGGGCCATAGCCTCACTGCAGGCGGGAGCAAGAACAAACGCAAGACTCACTCTGATAGAGACCCACCAGATGCATTGTTCAGCAACTCAAAGAGTTTAGGGTAACCCAACCTGAGAGAGAGAGAGGGAGTGTGTCTGTGTGTGTCTGTGTCTGTGTGTGTGTGTGTGTGTGTGTGTG